AGTCCATCAGTGTGGAGTACGTTTTTGACTGTGTTGGTGACACGATCACCAATGTTTGTAAGAAGTTCACCACCTTCTCGACACGGATCACCAATGTTTGTGGCTGGATCACCACTATAGTTAACTGGATCACCAGGTTTTGTGGCTGGATCACCAATGTTTGTGACTATATCACCAACGTTTGTGACTAGATCACCAATGTTTGTGACTATATCACCAACGTTTGTGACTAGATCACCAATGTTTGTGACTATATCACCAACGTTTGTGCCTATATCACCAATGTTTGTGACTGGATCACCAAGTTGATGGGCGTGATCTACATCTTCAACATCTTGGTGCTGACGTGGTGGCTTGTCATTATGATGAGCGAATCTCTCTAACCCCGCAAGGTAGTCGATCCAAGCACGAAAATTCTTGGAGCCCTTGTCCGCGACGACTTCTGCAATTTTTTGGCACACTGCAAACCCCGACCGATACTTCTCGTTATGGCCAAGAGTGTGGGTAGGAATAGCTTCTATATATTCAACGAAAATGTCTGCGTAGTCTCTAGAGAGACTACATCTTCTACGTCTTCATCGGCAAGCAGCCACCGACCAGGTGTCGTCTCATACGGAATGATGGAACGCATGTTCGCATTGTGCCGCCGTAGATATAGTATATGTCGACAAGGAAGCAGCATGGTCTGGTTAAAAGCGCAGCTGCAAGTGTGTTCAAATTCACAGCGTATTGGCCACCCGATTTGGCACTGGCTAGAGTAAAAAAAAACTCTGGAGTATTTTCATCTGGCGTCGTATCATACGTCTCCCGGCCGCTTACAAGATACTGTTCTTCAACCAGATTGCATGCGTGATGAGTTGCCAGTTTTGCCAACATACTCATCTCTTCATCATAGTTTTGGCTGTACCGGAAGCCCACGCGCTTCACCTTGGCAGTGTACTGATCTTCGGCGGTCTGTTGCAAGAACAGGAGGTGATCAATGCACTCGTCCATGGCCATGTGACGATGTAGCAAGTCCTTGGCAGCACCCCAACTAGCTTCCAGACGGTTATTCGTGTTGTTGGCAAGATGCGGAATGTTTCCATGCTTGAAAGTACACCATTGATCCTTACAATTGAGCCAATTCTCCGTGAAATAGTCCATAAATAATGGTTTTCCCGCACACAGCTTCGTCAAAGCAGAAAGGTACTCATCAAACAGGCTCTCGTTCTAAGCGCGGACCATCATCGTCAGGATATTTTTGATGTGCAT